TGGTTGATCCACTGTGTTTTATCCACACTGGACAAGAGTGCGTCTGCCATTGTTCAAGAGGAATAGGAGAAACCCCTGACCCAAAAGTACAGATTATGTTCAGTGTAGTGTAGAAGTCGGCACATGGAGATCCTATTTGTTTGATCTGAGGAAGTCTTCTAATAATTTGTTATACTGTAATTTTTGGCTGTTTATAGCTTATAAAGGCCTGAAATATCTCACTTTACTTTACAGAATATATGAAAGTTTATCTCTTTAAATTAAATTGTGAAAAATAAACCTTTACACAATACTCGGTGTTCTGAGATGCACTAGTGTAAGCGCACATGGGACACGTGTGATCGCATGCCTGCGTATACGAGCGTTGCCCATCACTTCACTTACTAATTAGAGGAATCGAAGTCACCATTGATCACCATTGATCGGTCATTCTCACACTGCCTGCTTATTGAACCGCTGAGCACTAATAGCTGGAAAGCCGTGCAGAAAGCACTCCTAGGCTTCTGCAGATATTCCTGTTGAAGGCCACGACAGGATTTACGCACGTTTTGAACCACTAAAGCTTTCAGCAGTAAGGGTTCCTGTTAACCGTTTTTCAAAATAAAACGGCTCTGAAAATTACCAGACCTAAAAAGGCGATAAACCAGTTGTTATGACCTAATACCAGATTATGTGTCTCATGTATACTAATGACTACTAATTATTGACCTGCAAAATAAATAAAATGAATAAACTGAAGGTGGATATCACTACATTAAGAGCAACAGATGGGTCACATTGCCCTTTTTTAAACACATGTCAACGGTTTAGAGAGTTTTGATCCACTGTGTGTCTGAGACAACTGTGAAAAAAGCCATTACCACCAGAAGTTTGGGGTTAAACCCCTCTGAGACTTCGCCTTGTCCTGTCATGTGACCTTCAGATTTTCAGGAGTGGGTTAAGGTGCCAGAGAGGGAATCGTGGAACTCTCAGAGTCCAAATCGCTTTCTTTAGACGACCATGACCTGGATGACTGACAACCTACAGACACATGTCCATGTTGTTCTTATTTCTGTGGTTCAGTCTGACTGCATCATGAAACAGTGCTTATATTTGGGAAACTGCAGTATCACACTTGCACCCAGAGGCGATGGGACAGCAGAAGGTGGAAGAGGCAGAAAAGTGAGGCCTAAAGAGCAAAAGAAAACATTGACTTAGGGATAAACAGAAACCTGCAGCTAAATGAAAAGAAGCCAATCCATCTTTGGAAAAAGCAAAGGATCGAGAAGTGTTTGTAGATCGGTTAATACAACACAACCTCCCACTTTAAGCAAGACCTCTGCGTAAGCCGGCTAGCTCACAGGACTGCATTGATCTTACAGCTGGATTAATCTGTTATCATTAAGTACACACAGCGAAAGCTCTGCCTATCCACATACCTGCACGTGCCACCTTTGTATGCCATAGGCTTTCCACTAATCGTGCCTCTGCTGAACGTCTGTCACTGCGCCTGCACAGCAGTGATGCATGCACCGCAGGCCTTTAAGATGCTCGAGGCGTCAGCAGCACGTTTGACCCTGTCAAACTGCACTGCCCGGGGAATATCTGCAAAGTGCAAGAATCATTTAAACCAAGCTCACGAGAAGCATGTTCAGTAGTTATGTCAAAATAATTTATGTGCTATGGGTGGCTGAGGGGTTGCACTGCTGCGAGAGCTGCTCATTGCATTAATATTGCATTGACTTGGGGGGGTAGAGAGGTTATTGATCATTAGTTTAAAACCCTTTTTAGCTTTCTTTTTTGATGACCTTGCTCTTCACGTGCTTTTTTTCCTCTCATGTCGTGCTTGCATAGCCATAGGCTGGTCAGTATATATCTCTAATTGGATCTAATTAGAAGTCGTCAAGTTAGTTTTATGAAGGCATGTGGACGGTGGAACCATTAGAAGTAGAAAGAACAGACGCAGGAAGTTTGGAGATAGGAGGGGAAATCCTTGACCTCTGACTGTATCTTTTTTGTTTAGCATTTAGATAAAGGTTTATTGTCAGTTATCTTGACCTATAAACGGAGAAAAACAAGGTCAGAGTAATTCCTATAACTCAGTTCAGTAAAAACCTCACGTCACACCTCGGCCTAATCTCACAGCCGTCACACGAAGTCGCTGCGTTCCTGTTGAGCTCAGATTATCTCAAAATAGAGAAACGGTGTAAAAGTCAGAAACTGCAGGTCAGGTTTGAGTTATGATGTCACTAAATGTTTCCTGGCGGTGAGCTGTTGGGGAACGAGGGGCGAGATATTTTTGGTTTATCTCGTGTGGTTGCCGGTGTTCCTGTCAGATGGGTCGTTGGGGCTGTGACCACATGACATCGTGTTGACAGGCTGCTGTTTGTATGCATGCAGCGTTTGTCACGGCCTCTACAAATGATTACCTACTGTAGTGTTTATTAATCCCCCCCGACCCCCCCAGGCCCTTTTAAAGAAGAAACAGGCTGCTCAGATGTCAAAAGTCAACGTTAGCAGTTGTGTAGAGCTGCTCCTAGCGTTTGCGTTTCAAGCTGTGTTGTTGGTTTCATATTGATTGCATTAATTAAGCTTGGCAACGCCGCTCTTTCCAGGAAATCGAGTGCGAGGAAATTGATCTGCGCCGGCTGGATGATGCATTGTTTAGTTCGCTCTTCACGTAGGTGCTCCGAGTTGTGATCAGGTCATACTGGTCCCCTTCTGGGTTTGAGAGGATAAAGGAACAGGAGGATCCTTGCAGAGTAGGACTGTTTCTAAACTAAAAGCCAAACTGCTTTCCATTTAGTTTTTTCTAAACCAGTAAGCAGGCAGTGGGTCTGTGTGTGATTGTTGCAGCGAAGCTCTGATGTCGTTTTTTGTTGTAAAGGGCATTGTTGTGTTTGTTTGTTTCCTCCAGAGCACCATCAACCCAGTGGATGGGATCTACCAGCCCCCTCTGGACACTCCAGCGGTGAACACAATGCCAACACAGACAACACTACCCCCAGGTACATCTGCCTCCCCAACATGTGCCAGACATTTAAAAGTTGTCACTTGCTGTGTTGATACATGCTGAGAGGTTGTTGGTGTTATATACTTAAAGGTGACAGCAGCGCCCCCTGTGGTTGGGATTGGAATCGCAGAACCGTTGTTGATGTTCTGTCCATAGATGACATTTGAAATTATGTTTCAGCTGCAACTGGAAACATGTTCTAGTGTGACATCACCAGTATGGATAAATATTCTTAATATTCTCTCAGTATTTGAAGGTACCCCTTCACACAGGGTTTAGCAACATTATTCCCTCTCTTCTTCTTCTTCTCCTTCTTTTAAATTAAGGATCTGTGTTGAAGCAGATTCCTGTTTTGTGGGGTAATATCGTTTATCCAGTCAACAAGAATACTCACATGTCTTGACTAAACTCTGACTAAATCTTTGGCTATTTTAGTCAGATGACTATGACTAGACTAAAAAAAAA